TACACGGAGAATATCCTTAAGGAATCCAAGCAGGAAGACTACAAAATCAGACCGTTCTCGAACAATACCGAGTTTTATAACAGTAAGGAAGATAATATCAATAATAAACATAGTAATCTGGATCCACCAAAATTACAATCGGTCGTACATAGAAATGCGCAAAATGGTATTGCAAATCCGCGTCACATATCGGAGGATCCAGATTATCTTAATAATAAAAACGAATATAATGGTGATGAAAACGTAAGTGTTGTGGAGTGTACGATAAAAGAGGTCGATGTAGTTGATAATAATTACATTGTTGGAAGCAAAGACGATCCGTTTCAGAGAGACAATTGTGCGTTGCAAGCGGAAAAGATGACAACTGATGCGAGAAAGTTTTCGTTGAATGATGCAAATGAGATTGTTTGCAATGGACATAACGACAAGAGCGAACAGAGGGACCTGAAAACGTCGCAAGGAGAGAATACTCGTTACATGAAGTCCAAGCATCCGCGCGTGAATCGGAGGGGTGGCAGAAATATCAGAGGTCGATGTCGAGCTCGACTATCGGTGGAAGAACGTTTGATAGAGGATAATCGTGCCTATTACAAGGTGGAAGTGTTGGGTAACAAGCTGCGATCGAGCGCGGTGCCAAGCGGTAATTCGCAACATGCGACATTGAAAGACGGGGAGAACGAAGAAAAGAAGGAGGCGCCGTCCAATGAAAAGCCGGTGGTAGTGCGATTTAAGCGTGTGAGGAAATCAGAATTATCTTTGTTGAGTGATGAGGCGGAATCCTTCATGTTCGGCGAGCCAAAGCGAGACGATTCCAGTGAGCGAACCAGTGACAGCGAGCAGAGTAGCGTGCTGCCAAGAGATACGGAAAGCGAGCCTAACGACACTATCAATTCATCTATATCGCTGAATTCATCGTTAAATTACAGTTCCATTAAGCAAGAGATTATCGAAGAAGACTCGCAAGATTCCGTGCACCTAGGCAGAGCAAGGAAAAGAAGACGCACACAGGCCGAAGCGTTCATCAAGGACAATACCGACTATTACAAATTCGAGACGCCTGGCAGCAGGTTAAGGTACCAGGCTCCATTGACTGGTGTTAAAGACACTGCCGTGGATGGTAGTAGGGAACACGGGACGGCGAAGAGATCGACGCATGAACCGGAAGATTGCAAGCTGCAGGCCGACGGCGTTGTCCAGAAAATTTATCCGTCCAAGCCATCGGCAGAGATCGAGAAGATGCAGTTCTCTTTTGAGTCGATACCTATGTCTGAGCCATGGTATCAAACGTATCAGCGTCAAGATGCAGGCGCCGAATTTTGGCATTGCTTCAGCGAATGCGAGGAGATGAAGCCATTTCTTTTGCCGTACGAGATTGAAAATTTTCACGAAACGCTAGCGAAAGCACAGAGCAGAATCGAGAATGGTAGGAGGAGAGGTCGTGGTCGCGGTATAGGATGTATGGGACGCTCGCCAAGAAAGAGCCCGCGTTGTCATGCATCTACGTTGGCGATTATGTCTACCATAATCCGTAAAAAGGAACAATCGATTCTGCCTACGATAGAAGAATCGTCGCCCGTCAGATCGCGTATAAACACTCCCAAGCTCGAACAAAAACCAGATCTCAAATTGGACGTGGACGAGGAGATAAAAGAGATAGCGAGGACGATCGACGAGATGTTGTGCGCGAAAGGTATGACCGAGTTGGACGACTCGTTTGAGCCCGATGTCGACTTAACGCAAGCTGATGGTTTTTGTCAAACGAATTTACCAAAGGGTGCACCGCCGAATCTACTAGAGTTACTCGACAATTGTCAAGACATTACCAATTGTCTGGAAAATAATTCATCGTGTGCTAGTTCAGAATGTGGTGAAGTAAACGCGGACATTCCGTTGAAACGACGGAAACGAAGAAAAAATCGGACCGGTTGGCCGGTCGGTAACAAGATGAAAAAAAAAATACAACCAAACAGCAAAATATTGACGGATTGTGACCAGGAATCATTGGCGGAGAAGAAGTTCTATCCTGACGGTGATTTTTCTAGACGTCACACGTTGAACACAGAGAGGATAGATTTTCACGCAGTAACGACATCGATGAACAACGCGATGGTTGCAGAACGATTAGGTGTCTGTCAAAAAAATGATGATGACGCTTCGCTGGTAACCTGCACTACGTCTAAAAAATCGTATTACGAGACGCTCGCGAAAAAGGACAAAAACATAGAGGCTGTCAGCAATGACAATACGGGCCTATCAGCGAGTACGGACAACTATAAGGAGTCCATCTCGGAAAATGCGTGTGACGATGGGACGAATAAAACTCATCTGTCGAATAAAGATTATCCATGTAGAAAAGATTTATCGGAAATTAAGGAGGTCTTGGAGAATAATTCAGGCAACGATGAGAATCACGAGAACCAGAAGAATTTGTTAAGCAGAAAGGATGTCAATACGATCACCGAGAACTTGGTCGCGAAATCGTCGCCTATTAAAAAGCAACGACAGCGTGAGCATGTCACCGTTACTAGTGCCGATAGCTGCGAATTACGAGATACAGAAATCGAGAATCAGGACAATCTGCAGTTACAGTGTAGAAAAGAGGAGACCGGTATAGTTCCTAAGAAACACCACAATTCTAATTCCGAGTTGTCGCCGAAGCGGCAGTTGCGCGGCGGTAATTGTGAGGAGAACTCGTCCGACACGGGGGAATTGTTGAAACGTCGTCATGGTATCGTATTCGCCACGACGAGGCGCGGTCGGATAGGCTCGCGGAAGCGGATTTATCCCAAAAAACGTCAATCGAGAACGACCGTCACCCGCAACAATGCCAATTTGTCGTCCGATCGCGTCGGGTTAATATACGAGGACGAGAATTGTAAAAAGGATGCCTACTTGAGTATTACGTCGTGTAACAAGAAACAGCCACCAAGCTCCGGGGTGCGCGGTAGCGTAAAGCGTAAAAGTGAAGCCATCTCATCGTCAGATAACATCCAGGAATCGTCCAATCTATCGATAGATCAATGCGCCTTGTCGGAGCGCATCAGTCCGTCGATAATATCATCCAGCGAGCTTGAGCAGCGTCGTTCTAGCATCGAGTTTCAACCAGTCGTACGAATGATGAAGATCGACGATCAAATAGACATAGATCACAGTATACTGTCGACGGTGACGGTGGCAAGTAATAGACGGTTGAGAAGTTCTGTCGGCTCGCGATCGAATCCCAAGCCACCGAAGAAGCGTGTCAAGTCCGGCCGCGGGCACTTTGGGCGGTGGTTGAAGAACAGCTGAAGACCTGGAGAACGAAGAGGACGAAGAAGAAAAAGGCTGTACTTCGGCTTAGATTTCAACGGTGGTCATTTATCGATCTTACGATCCGATATCTCGTTCTACCGATGTGTACATTGTGTATAAAAATATTATTTGTGTACGTAGAATAGTATTTAACATGCATCATAGTAATATATATATATATATATATATATATATATATATGTATGTATACATACACACACACATACACATATATATATATATTCTCTCTTTAGTGATACCATTCTACTTAGTGACGTTCTTTCAGGTGGTTAGTTTTAACACTCCCCGCCCGCGGTATATCCTACTGTGTACATACTTTAGATGCGGTCATTGTGTTTTCAGAGACAGAACAGTTACATCTTTTTTACTAGTACCATGTCGTTCCTTATTTTCTATTTCTTTTTTCTTTCTCGTCGTTTCATACAAACAAAAATTGTGAACCACTTTGATGACAGTCGTTTCATTCAGATCATGATTAAGAATTATTTTTATTTAGAATATGCTATATTTTAGAGTGCGCAAGACTGCATACGGCTTTATAACATTGTAATCACAGATGTACACACACACACACACACACACGTACACATACACACACACACACACACAGACACGCACACATATGTTCCGTTATATTGTGTATACTATTAAAAATAATATTCTATATTTTCAATTCTCCAGTATATCCAAATACATTATTTCAAGCAGAATTGCTGTAAGCCGCTCATGAGTTCAGAAAGAGAAATTATTATTAAAGATATACAAATTTTCCATTAAAAATCATTTCATTGCACCTTTTTTCCATATCTCCCTGAGAGTGAGAGAAGAGGGGGGAATACAAGTTTATAACTGACCAACAAGTTCAATAGACTGATTTAATTTCAAGTTTAGTGTTCTTTATCTTAATTATAGTTTAGACTAATCTAATCAGTTAATAATAAAGATTATATAGATTAACACACTTAAGTACTTAAATTTTAAAAATAAAACGGAGCTTTTGTATTTCTGAAAACAAAGTTTAGGTAACTTATAAATTTATTTACCTGATAGATTCAATTAATTATAGTTAACATTTATAAGTTGGCTATCTTTAGTGCTTTAGAAGAAGTTATCTCTTCATATAATTTTATTTATCTCTAAATCAATTTACATTCTAGAAAAAATGTACATAGAACAACCTCATGTCATGTCAAGCCTTCACGTTCGCGAAACGCTTTCTTCATTTCGTTTAGTTTTTTTCTCTTATATTCTTTTTGCGCCTGCTGTTTTTTCTCAAGAGCATGTATCTGGGCTTCGATGGAGCGTTCCTTGTTCAGCAAGTTGTCAAGCTTTGTTATCAAGATTTCACGCGCGCGTTTCTTGTTGTCCCACTGGCTCCTTGTCTCGTGGCACTTGACGACAAGCCCCGTGGGTTTGTGCTTCAACAGGACCGCATTGTTCGTCTTGTTCGTCGCTTGGCCACCTGGACCACTACCTCGGATGAATTGCTCTTCCAGATCGGCCTCATCCAACTTAGGAACGTTCGAGTAATCGAGATAACGTTTAAACGACTTATTGCGGACTTGTATGCTTTCGTAATTAAATACAATGCCTAACAAGAAAAATTCGTTACGGCTGACCAGGGAAAAAATGTTATTGGGACAAGTCAATACAGACTTGATCAACATCTTCTGTTATTTTTATATAAAATAAAATGTCTCTCGTAGTAAACCCAATGATGACTTAAACCACTTTCTTAGCTTCCAAGAATTTCATACCTTTCTGTGAAAGGAGAAATAAAGAAATAAATTAATTCTGAATCAACAGAAAGCTTTTATTACAAACATCGCAAAAATTTAAACTTTAAATTGGAAAAAATTAGATATTTTATATGTATTTAAAAAATTATATATA